AACCCCTCACCTATTTGACTGAGACAGTCCTGCATCTGTGTGCTTGCTTTCTTTTTCTGCCTGCCTTTCTCTGATCATGTTCTCCTCTCTCTCTCTCACTGAAGCTTGGGGTGGGGGTGGAGGGAGCAGGGAAGCTGGCAGAAGGATAAGATTCATCAATATTTAATTTTTATGGAAATCATGCCCTAGAAATCCCCCAGGGACTGAAAATTGTTCTGTGTTTTCAGAATCCAGTGATGTTGCTGAAGCGGTTATGTTGTAAATAAAACCACATTACTGTCTGCAGCTCCCCCGTTGCTCTGCAAACACCCGGAAACTTGACAGTTTAATCCACTCAAGGAAGCAAAAAGGTTCGGGTCACTGGTGGGGGCAGCCCGTCCCCAGCCCTGGGATATAGGATTGTGAGGCATCAATGTCAGCAGCACTGTTAAAGCCAGGGCGGGAGATGGAGCCAGCCTGCCCTGAGCCGAGCTACCATGTTGGTGAAATTGTCTTCTCTTAACAGGAATTCCAGGCCAGCAGGGGCCCCCTGGGGTTCCTGATGTTGGGAGGGTTTGCTTAGATGTAGTAGGCTTTCTTCTTCCTTATGCTCAGGGCGCAAGTGACCAACAGAAGGCTCGTGCCCAAGTTCATTGCCAGTGAACTTGGGGGGACCTGGGATCGGGAAAGGGCATCCACTCATTGTTCATCAGGCCCTCGGTCAGATACCCACTAGGCATCCACCATATTAGACCCGCTAGGTACCAAGATGCCGCAAAGCACAGCAGACACCCAGAAACCCCTGCATACATCCTCATGGATGGAGGCAGACACAAACCAGAAAAGTAAGTAAGAGAGATAGTATGACCAATGGTGATAAGCACTGTGGAGAAAAGAGGCAGGAATCACAGATCCTTGCCTGTGAGAAATGAAAATATTTATCTGCTGAAAGTCTAGTACAAGAATGTTCACAGAAGCTTTACTCACAAAACAAAAGTAGCTAAAAGCCAGAAACAGCTTCACTTGTCCATCAATAAATCAATAAATTGGTAAGGCCACATGTGAAATACTAAGCATCAGTGAAAAGGGACAGCCTGTTAGCCTATAAAATGACATGGGCAGATACAACAAATATTTTTTCTGAACGAAAGAAACCAGACACAGAAATATGTGCCAACTGATTCTGTTTATAGGACATTCTGGAATAGACAAAACCCATCTGTGGGGATAGAAATCAGAATAGTGGTCGCTTTGAGGTGGGGTACATTCATCAAAACTGGCTGGGCCGTACACACAGGGTCAGAGCTCTTTGTCACGGTAAGGGGCACCTCAGTGAAATAGAACTGGAAGGCTCACCAAGGGAATGGGGTGTGTCAGTGAAGGGAGGAGGGCTTTTGCAACTTGAAATGGGGTGACCAGTGAAGGCCTCATGAAGGCAGCTTGCAGACAGTGAGGGAGAAGGCCTCAAGGGTGTCTGGGGGAGGAATACTGCAGGTGGAGGGAGCAGCAGCTGCAAAGGCCCTGTGCTGGAAGTGTGCCTGCCGCGGCCGCGGACCGGTAAGAACACCAGCTTAGGAACTGACCCGGGCTGCCAACACACAGTACCACAGACTGCCGGGGGCGTGACAACATATACTTATTTACTTACGATCCTAGAGGCCAGAAGGCCAAGATGAAGGTGTCAGATTTGGTTTCTCCTGAGGCCTGTCCCTTTGGATCACAGGTTGCTGTCTTTTCCCCATGTCCTCACATGGTTGTCCCTCAGTCTGAGTGTTTTTGTGTCCTAATCTCCTTTTCTTATAATAACACTAGTCAGATTGGTCTGGGGCCCACCCTGTAGCCCCCTTTTAAGATAATCACCTCTTTAAAAACCCATCTCCTAATATACTCACATTCTGATGTAGGGGACTTAGGACTTCAGCCCATGAACTTTAGGGGACACAGTTCTGCCCATGACAGCCAGCAAGAACGGAAGGGCCATGGACACAGACGGGTCTCTGCGTGCCCTCTGCTGTCACGGTGGGCTCTGGGGCTGCTTCTCTCTGCTGCTGCCGTGATGAATGTGTTGGTCTGGGATGAAGCTGAATGAGGGCTTTGTGGGGGAGGATGGATGGCTGGGGTAGAGGCCAGAAGTTGCAGTTCCTGTGATGGCTTTTCACCGATTCACATCAGCAGGGGAATGTGCTTCCAGAAAATCAGAGACGCTCTGATTGAGGGTCAGGGCACAGATTTTGCTTTCCACTGGGAAATGGCACTGAGGCCTCAGGAGAGGGGAGTGTGATGGGACGCACTGATGGCCTTGTCAGCCTTTGCGCTGCCCGAGTGCAGGTACTGGGCTCTGCACTGGTGACGGGGCCCCTGGCTGGCAGTGCCAGATCGGCACCACAGTGCTGGTGGTGATGGTGGCTGTGGCTGGGGAGTGGCTGGTCCCAGGGTCAGGGCTCCACTGTGGCCACTGAGACATCAATGCAATCCTTTCCTCTACATGTCTGATCAAGACCAAGAACCATGAGTGCTGGGTCAGGGAGGGGCTTCCAACCTTTGCTGGATCTTGAGCTTCTGGGGCTCTGGAGGGGTAGCTAAAGTGAAGGATTTTAGGAATCAAACTCAGGTACTCTTAGGGTCAGGCAGGTAGTCTGGGGCCTGCTGCTAGTACAACTAAAGGTCTTAGAAGAGAGGAGTAGGGGAGCACCTTCTGCATGCTGGCCACAGGCTGGGCCCTCGCCATGCATCCTCTTCCTATCATTCTCCCAACACTCTGGGGGGCAGATATTATTGACCCCATGTTACAGAGAACAAAACTGAGGCTCCGAGGGGGTGATTCCTGGCCCAGGGTCACGCAGATACTCAACTATGGCACTGGGGTGCAAGCCCGGGTCTGCTGAATTAGAACCTGGTGCTTCCTCCCCGGTCCCCCTGGACATGAGACCCATGGACAGGAGAGCAGTCTTACCCGCCTCCATCCTTGGAGTAATCCATATCTCAGGCTGCTTTCTGGAAAACGTGTGGTTAGATGTCCTAGTCTCGTCTTCACAGCAGACCAGGGGAAGCTGGAGAGAAATGAGCATCTCCGACCGACTCTTCCAGGCAGGCCAACCCACAGAATTCACCTGTTTTACAGGTGGCCGTCTTCTCCCTGTGTCCTCACGTGGTCACCCCTCAGCCTAGGTGGGTCTGTGTCCGGATCTCCTCTTCTTACAACAACACTAGTCAGATTGGGTTTTTGGGCTTTGGCCCACCCTCATGGCCCCCTTTTATCATAATCACCCAAAAGGGCAGGTGATCTGCTTATGTTCCCATAGAATGCTTAAGAATTTTCCCAGTGCAAAAGGCAGCTCTGAGCAACAGAACAGATAGTGTAGGTGTGTGTAAGGTGAGGATAGGGAAAGCATCTCCTCTCCTGCCCCCATGCGGCTCTTAGGGAGGGATGTGGGTCTGGACCCTGGGGGGGTTCCTGGCAGAGGCAAAGCTGCCCCTAAGCCTTGAAGGCCGAGGGAGGTAGAGAGAGGCTTTCATGGGGGCCGCAAGGCATCTGGGAGAGAATAAGTCTGTGCTAGCAAGCACAGCCCTGTGTTGGGGGCAGCACCTCCTCCCACTCCCTCCTAACACACCTCCCTGCCCAGGCTCCTCATCACCCTCCCTTGCCTGGGACACCGCCTATTGTCTTTTCTGAGCGCTGGCGGCTCTGCCAAGCCACGCTCAGAAAACGCTATTGATTTTCCTTTATTTATTTATTTATGAGGTTTGCTGTGGGCAAAAAATAAAAAGGTTTGTGAAGCGTTCCCTGTAGCAGGGCGAAATCTCCACCCACAGCCTCCCCCCCATGCACACACTGATAGGCTGCTCTCTCATCTGTATGCTCCAGGCAGCTGGTATCTCCTGTTTGCAAAATGCAGGGACAGATTGGGACTAGGAAGTCCTACCTAGTACCCGGTGCATAGTAGGTGCTCAAAAATATCTGTGTGGGAGAGGTAGGTGGGGGCATTTTTAAATGAGCTGTGGCTGGTGCCCATAGGGGTAAGGAGGCTGAGGGTGGCCCGTTCTTCTGTGAAAACACCTTTCTTGTGCTGGACCCAGTGCTGAGCAATTTGGCTCTTTTTCATCTAGTTCTCATCATGCACATGCAAGGCAGATTTTATTACCTTTGTCAAATGGTGAAATTCAGAGAGGTTCAGCACCTCACCCGAGGTTACCCAGCCTGTGAACCTGAATTCATGTTGGGCTTTCCAGATGCTGGTGCCCCTGCTCTCCCCACTGCACAGTGCAACCCAAGAGAAGCAAGAAACCACTTAGGAGACTGCCAGGCACTGGCTTGGCCCACCTGGCGGGACACCTTCCCTCTCCTAACCTGGCAGGGTGCCTGCATTTTCAGGAAGCCCCACCTTGGGCTAAGCACCTTGGGGAGGTCAAGGTCTGCTCTTGCCCCAGCCTCCTGTCTTAGAGAAATGGCTATGTGGGACTGTCACCTGTCACCAGCCTGCACCCCATCCTGCAGTAAGACTAAGGGCACAAAGATTGGGGCGGTGCTCTCAGGGAGGGCCAGCAGGAATTCCAGCCATCACTCGGGGCTCGCAGTCTGTTGGTTAAAGATGGGACATGCTGAGCTCCACGCTGCCCTGGGTGGGCTTTGTGTCCCATTCTGACCCCTACACACACATGCTTGCATGGGTCCTCTGGAGTGCCTGTTCCCTCCCCCGCCCTCCTAATAGCCTTCTGGACGGCCGGAAGGTCCAGCTCTAGGCCCTCTACACTCAGCTCACCCCTCTCAGAGCACTACTCCCACTGTGCTGTGACCATTGGCCTGTGCCTGGCCAGCTCTGAGCTGCTGGAGGGCAGAAATCACGTCCCCCTGAGCTTGGTCTCCCCATCTGGATCCAGAGGCCTGTGCTGGAAGGACAGCCATCATCTGTGGATCCCACACAGCCTGCTGTGCATCTGTGTGTACGTCCTGGTAGCCGAGCTGCAGGAGGCGTGGCCTTGTATTCACCTGAGTTGCCTCTGTCCCTCTCCTTCCCTGGCAGGAGTTCCCCTTGGCCATCCTCAGGGGCTGGGAGTGCTACTGTGCCTACCCCACCCCCGAGTTCAACCTGCGGGATGCTGTGGACGGCTCAATGTGTGGCCAGGGTCCTGAGGTACAGAGGCTGGCGGAGTACTGTGAGGTCTACCAGACACCCGTGCAGGGTGAGTGCTGCCCCTGTGGGCAAGGCCTGCAGGGCCCGTCTCCCTGCATCTGCCACAGGTTGTGGCAGTTGGTCTGTTGAGTGTTCAGTCCTGGACTGGGGAGGGCACCTTTGTAAAAACCTTGGCATCTTAGTAGGCAGTCCCATCTTGGAATAAGGAGGAGGGGGAGGTCTCCACTGTTCCTGGAGGCTGGATATGGGATGCAGGCCTCAAAGAGCACCTGACCTTTACCTGGGTCTGTCTGGGGATGATGGTAATTTGAGGAAGAGGGGAAGAGCAGAGACAGGGTCCTGAGGGAGAGCAACTGCCAAGGGGTTGGGTGGCATGGGAGACCAGTGACCACAGGGGCCTCAGAGGCCTCCCTGAGCCAGCCCAGGACTGAAGAGCCTGTGAGGCCCTGGCATCCATCTCATGTGAGCTTCAGATCTGTTCTGCCCTCACTGACCTCAGGGACTGAAGAGAGGGACAGCAGGTGGGGAGGGACGTTACCACCTCATCAAGCAGCTGCTGTGACCCAGCCCTGGGGTCTTGAAGGCTTCCACATGGTGATGTCATGGGCACTTTACAGCAGCCTATGGGGGAAGGAAGATGGGATGTGGAGACCTTACTTGCCTGAAATCAGCCTGGGCCTGGTTCACTGATGGCTGTACCTGGGTGTGTGCCATTGGTCAGCCCCGCCACGAGACCCAGTCACCTGCCCTGCAAGATCGGCAGTTATCTGTGCCGTGCTGGAGGCCACGGTTCAGCTGTGACCCTGGAGACCAGGCAAGGGCCGAGGGTCCCCGAGACGCCGACTCCCCTGATTCTTGCCCTGGGGTATGGGAGGCCTGGCCATCCCTGGGCTTCCTCTGGCCAGGTGGCAAACCCCCTCCACTCTTTGGGTATCAGTCACCCGACTCATAAAGTGGGGGTCTTGGATCAGTAGTTGTGGCCTAGGGGAGTCTGGTGGTGAGTCTGTGAGCCACAGTGGAGGTGCATGACCCTGAGACAACTTCTGGACTTGCAGACACCCGATGCACAGATAGGAGGTTCCTGCCCACCAAGTCCAGGGTGTTCGTGGCTTTGTCAAGCTTCCCGGGAGCAGGGAACACATGGGCACGGCACCTCATCGAGCACGCCACGGGCTTCTACACGGGGAGCTACTACTTTGACGGGATCCTCTACAACAAGGGTGAGTGACGGTGGTCGGGGGGCGGGCAAGGCGCAGCCCCGAGACCAGGCCCTAGCCAGTCCTGGGAGCAGAGCTTCCCCAACTTGAGCTGCATTAAGGACATCCTGGGGGGCTGTTAAATTCACCAGATTCCTGGGCCCCACCCCCCAAGAGACTCAGTGGGTCTGCAGTGGGGCCTGGGAATTGGCATCATTTCTTACCAGCTTCCAGGTGGTGCTGCTGGAGCCAGCCCTAGGACCGCACTTTGAGTGAGAATTCACGAGTGGTTTTTTTTTTAATACTGAAGAAAGGCACAGGGAGGTGTATTTAGCACAAGTCTTGGAAATCAGAAATGACAACATATCCCTTCCTTTAACATGTAATAGTCATCACAGTTTTGCTCTTCTGAATCCATGAATCTTTTGAATCCCTTTCGGATTCAAGGGAAAAGTCTAATAGCTTAGATTCCTTCTCTATAAACATTTCTTGAATTTTCCTTAATTTTTGGAACCCTCAATAATTAGGTGAGACTGACTTCATCTCTCTCATTCTTTTTGGGGTCAGGGGGCAAGGGGGTAGCTTATTGAAATACCACGTTTTAAAAAAATAGATCCCAGAATCTTCCAGAGTTTTATGATTTCTAATCTTTCCCCTGTAGAAATAAGAGGCTTCATTATGCCAAGTAAATGAACTTAAATGGCTCCAGTCTGTGCTCTGTTTAAGACTAAGAACCTCAGATAAGTTCAGGCAGGATCTAATTTGGTGACATGTATTTCTCTGTTGTCAAGTTTTACAATTTCTCTGGGTTTCTTTAACTTGAGTTTGGTTTAGGAGAAGAAGATAGTATCAGTAATATCCCAGAGAAAACAAAAACTTCCTGAGTTTAGCAGTGGGTTCTGGGATTAGCCACAGCAATCTTGGTTGGTTGGGGAGAAGCCAAGGGTGTCCTTATAACTCAGCCCCATTATCCTTGGAGTCTTGAAACTTATGGGCATTTATAGGTGAAGTGGACAGATGAAGCACATGGCCTAATCCCCAGGGAATCACCAGGTATGTACAGGCTACAATTACACACCTTGTTTATCTAGAAGGCCTTTACCTTGTTCAAATAGCTGGCTGTCTTGGTCTGCATATGGCTAGGTGGCCCATTGGTTCAAATAGTCAGGTAAGGGTTAGGATGACATTGCCTCACAATGGCTTTAGAGATACAGGTGCACCTTTGCTCTAATAGAGCAATGACACACACAGATGGGAAATTCGCAGGTTAGCTTCAATACCAAAACGCCAGAGCTGTCATAGGTTAACGTGGTCTGAGTTATAGGGAAAAGTGACCATGGTTGAAATAGGCTGAGGAAGTACAAAAAAATACCGTGGGTGCCAGGCTTGTCAAACACCAGCTCTTAGGTTTACTCTGATTCTCCCTTTCCTGGAAATTCCCGGATGTTTGACAGAATGAATCAAAGACTTTTGGTGTCTGGCCCATGGCAGAGATGAGCTTGAGACACATTGAGTCTCAGTAGGTGAATCCAGACTATCAAATTTCAAAGAGACTGGCAAATTTCCAGACATTGGTAGATACAAATGCTTCCCAGCCATTCATGAAGGAGGGTGGGACTCATTTATGTTTTAAGGAGCCCGAGATAAGCTCATATGGAATATGGAACATGACCCCAGAGCTGGCTGGCATGGGCTGTATTGGGGTGTGGCCAGTAGACTAGGGCCAGGTGACTAGGGTCAGTAAGCCTTCTATGACATCCCACTACACCCCTCTTCTCTTTGTGCCCATAAGTCACTATGCTCTGTATTATGGTTGGGACATTCCAGTGCTAGAATGTAAGCTTAAGACAAGAGTCTTTATCCCCGACACAGAAAGAGCACACGATAATAATATGTGAAAATAAATACATAAAAATAAATAAAATTAAGTAAATAAATAAAAATAACAATGACTGTGTGACTCTGTGTATGGATGGGTCGAGTCTGGCCTACTCAGGTGGAAGTCAGAAGTGTTCTGAATACCCAGTACTGGCCCAGGGCCCAGGAAGGAGTCGGGCCCACAGGGAGACTGGTCAATGGGCAGAGCTCTGTTCTTACAAATGGGGCCCTGGGTTCCACAGGGCAGGGTGCAAACATTGTGGTTGAGACATTGGCCCCAGGTGGAAAATCTCCTTAGATGCGAGGCTAGGGCCCTGTTACAGGACCACATCATGAGGTCAGGGCTGCCCACTGTGGGGAGGTGGGTAGAAGCTGGCACCTCACAGACACACCCATAGCCATGTGGAGAGAGCCTTGGCTCGGTGGCCATGGCACTGTGTGTTCTCGGGCAAGTCATATACCCACTCTGAGCCTCAATCTCTTCATCTAGCTGTGCCTGTACCTGTGGTTAACTTACAGGCTTATTTTCGATACCTGTGTGAAATCTCCATGAACATGTTTGAACATTTGCAACTCCAGTGTCTAGAGGGGGCATGGTCAGGCCTCTGCCTCCTGACTTCTGGAGGTGCTGTATCCCCTTTCTCTTGCACACGCTATCTTTCCCTACTGTTAGATGTGTCCTGCTCTCGCCTAGTCCTGGGCAGGGTCAGGCCTGTGGAGGCCACTCCTGCCCTCTCTCCATAAGCCTTCCCAGTGCCCCTGCCATGACATCTGCAGGCCTCTCCCATACCTCGAATATCGGCTTCCCCTCAGGGATGCAGTTCCCCTTCAGATCTGTCTACACACGGCGGGGTGTCCCCACCATGCCTTCCTCCAAAGGGGCCCTCTCCTTTCTCCCTGGCAGGGTTTAAGGGCGAGAAGGACCATTGGCGGAGCCGGCGCACCATCTGTGTGAAGACCCACGAGAGTGGCAGGAGGGAGATTGAGATGTTTGACTCAGCCATCCTGCTGATCCGGAACCCATACAGGTCCCTGGTAGCCGAATTCAACAGGAAATGCGCCGGGCACCTGGGCTACGCGGCTGACCGCAACTGGAAGAGCAAAGGTAAATGGAGAGGGCCCGTGGGGCAGGGGACCCACTGCAGCTTTATTCAGGGAGGGAGTCCGTCTGCGGACACACACTTCCTAAAGTCCAGTGCCAGGCACCGGGCAGGCACCAGGGGCCCAGGCTAAAGGGGTCATAGTTTCTGCCCTCAAGGCACACACACAGTCTAGCCTTTAGGCAATGAAGTAAAGAGATGCATGTCAGGTTAGTGAGTGATGCAAAATTAAGCTGTCAGAAACACAGCTGTGTCCACCAGGGTCTGTGGCTTGATGAGGCTGGGGGAGGGGGCCGTGGATAGGGGCCCTTAGGCCAGGCAGGCTTGTGTGTCCATCCCTGTGTGACAGGATCAGCAGAGGCTGGCTGGTGTCCTCCTCCTTCTCCATCCTTCCCCTTGCTGGCCCCCCTTCAGGACACAGGCAGGCTAAGCCCTGATTCGTCCTCGGTACCTTATAAGCCCAGTGAGCCTGGGCAAGCTGTGTGCTTGTCTTCTGAACATCAGTTTTCTCATTTAAAAAACAAAGGGCTGTTGTGAAGATGAGGGAAAGCAAATGCTTCCCACAGCATCTGAGGTGTATTAATAACCCAATTATGGGAACTATTTTTGTTGGGATGATTTTTGACATTTTCATCCTTCCCCTGCCAGAAGACAAACTGCCTGGTTTCTTAATTTGCTGGAAAAAAAAGCTCATGGAGTAGATCATCTGCAAAAGTTTGCAGCTGCCCCACCCATGACTTCACTGTATGTCCTGCCACCCAGCAGTGTCACCGTGTCACAAGCAGTCACACCCACGAGACACAGTAGATGTTGAGTAGGCACCACATTCACTCAGCTGTCAAAGGGGAACCCAGGACAGAAAATCGGGGCTGCACAGCAGCCTCATCTCACCCAGCAGCTGCCCCCTCCCTTCACTACTCAACCCCGTGGCCCACCTGGAATGTGCATGGGACAAGATGCCAGGGACAAGATTAAAGGGAAAGAGGGTCATCTCCACAGAGATGCCCTGCCTGGGTTTCCGGCCTGTATTTACCACCACTGTGTCACACGGGCCCCAGACCTGTGGGCTTCCCCCACCCAGGCATGGTCCCAAAGGGCGAGGCATTCTCCAGAGAGAGAACCAGTTTTCCACGTTTGTCTTAATGTGGTGTGCTTCCAAGGAAACAGTCCCAAGGTCATACGTCCCAGGCTGGCTCAGGACTCTGCAGAGCCCAGACTGAGGGGACCCCTCGCTCACCCCAGGGTGTCCTGAGGGTCTTTCTCTGAGGGGGATTCGGGCAGGTTAGCCCTGGGCAGTGGGCCATGGAAAATCCTGGCTGCTTCCCTGTTCTGAGTCTCCAGAAGGGCCAGCAGTCCTGCCAGGCCAGGCCCCCACAGGACATCCCTTGTGTCCCCTCCCCAGAGTGGCCGGACTTCGTCCACAGCTATGCGTCCTGGTGGTCATCGCACGTCCTGGACTGGCTCAAGTACGGCAAGCGGCTGCTAGTCGTGCACTACGAGGAGCTGCGGCGCAGCCTGGTGCCCACGCTGCGGGAGATGGTGGCCTTCCTCAACGTGTCTGTGAGCGAGGAGCGGCTGCTCTGCGTGGAGAACAACAAGGAAGGCAGCTTCCGGAGGCACGGCCGGCGCCCCCACGATGCGGAGCCCTTCACCCCGGAAATGAAGGACTTGATCGATGGCTACATCCAGACAGTGGACAAGGCCCTGCGTGACCACAACTGGGCTGGGCTGCCCAGGGAGTATGTGCCCAGATGATAGGCCCCGGCCGTCTCTGCCTGCCTCCCGAGTGCCGGCCGCCCCCATGGGGCTGCATTGCTCTCTGCTGCTACACAGCCGTCTCGCTTGCGCCGCCAGCAGGGAGGCCCGCTGGGTGCTATCTGCCACATGCAGGGAGACCCGGACACAAGCCCTTTGCCCACCCAGGCAGACAGGATGTCACAGGGTGAACACAGATGGGCACACAGGCCTCACCATGCTTAGAAATGCCATCATATGCTCACAGCCCCCGTTCTGAGTTGCCCGAGCCACCGTGCAGGGTACACCAGCCCCTCCCAGACTTGCAGATGCAGTCACATACTAACAGCAGGTTATCCACTCCCAGAGGCTGTCTGTCGTCTCTCTTACACACAGACACCTTTTGCACCCTGGGTTCTCAGAGGCCCAAGGCTTCCTGTTTCAAGCCCACTGCAAACTGGCTTGTTAGGGTTCCTGACGCTAGGATTCTGGGCTGCGTGGGCATCAGTGCTGTGAGCCACAAGGACTTGGCTTGGGGAGGGTTCACGGACTGTTGCTGCTGGGCCATGGGGCCCTGACTGCATGTCTGACATCCCGTAAATGTGTGTGGTGTGACAGTCGGGCACCACAAATACTGTAGCGCTGCCTCTCCCTTCTCTGCAGACAGACTGGTGGCACTGTGGACAGTGTGGAGTCCCCAGACACACACCGACCTAAGGACCTGCCCCAAATGCTGTGTATCCCCTACCCCCTTTCAACATCAGCCCTCCTTAGAGTGGGGCCTCCTTGCCTGGACTCTTCCCTGAGTGACCCCTGGGGAAGCCAGAGATTCACACCAGGCCCCAGAAGCAGGGTGTAAGGGAAAGAAGACAGTAAGGCAGGGTGAGGGTGGGTCCCCAGGGGAGCCCTGGACCTGAGGGGCCCCTACGCCAGCAGGAGGGACCTGTGGTGGGCATGGGGAGACCCAGGAGGGATGGGTCTTGGGACTCAGTGTACAGTCGCCCCACCCATCTTGACAGGTGCCTGCGGTCTGTGGAGTCCCGCCCTGGAGTCATGAGGAAGGGGAACTGCATGACCAGCAGCACAGCCCTGAGGAAGGGGCTGTAGTTGCAGCTTCTGTCTGACCCCCCACCCTGGTGGCCAAGGCCTCTCTGTCTCCCTGTTATTCACCCACCACTTCCTGTCACCGGGCCTCTTCCACACCCTTTGTCTCTATTTCTGCAAGGCTGACATCTTTCCCACTTGTTCATCCATTTCCTTAACAAAAGGGGCAGGATGCTCACTGGTGCCCGCTGTGTCCTGGCCTGGGGAGAGGGGAGAGGACAGATAATAAAGGCCCCACTCACCACCCCCTGCTGGGCAGAGGAAGGGTTGTCACAAATGGGAGTAAGACCCAGTAACACAGGGGCACGTGCGCTGTGCAGGCTCACGGGGGGTCAGCCTTTGTGCCTCGGGTCTTCGGGGAATGCATCACAGTGCCTTTGCATGGGTCATGAGGACTCTGTAGGAATCCTCCCAGCAAAGTTAGAGGGGACAGATATTTGTAGCAGAGAGAACAGCATATGCAAAGGCTCAGAGGCTGGAAAACCCTGGAGTGTTTTACAAAACAGGTCGATGGGGTGTGGGGGCATATGTGTCTCTCTGAGTCAGTGGAAGGACAGGAGTGCGTAGGTGAGGACAGAGGTGGGGACACAGAAAAGGAGTGTCCTTACAGTCATGACTGTAAGGACTCCCACAGCAGCCCTTGGGTCAGCTCAAAGCCGGAGACAGCAGCGGGGCCTCACTGGGGCTGCATGGCTCTCATCCAGGCTGAACAGAGGTGCTGATGCTAATTAGCTTCTCAGGTCACCCTTCAGTAATGGGTACAAGAATAAGGCTGTCGGGAGCAGGGGGCTCAGGTCTAGACATGGGGACGGACTGGATGCACAGCACAGGGCAGCCAAGACACAGGGAGGGTCATGGGGAGTTTGGTTGCCCACTGACCCCTGTGGGAGGGAGGAAGGTGGGTGGGCCTGAACTTGGGCAGCCCTGAGCCCCTCTGCAGCTTCTCCAGTTCTGGGGCAACCCCTCCAGGCCCCGTGGTCTGACCTCCCCTCAGTCTGAGCCAGGCTGCCCTGGGAGGAGATAATGGGGTGAGGGGTTTAGGAAAAGTGGGCATCAAATGCTCAGACCCTCTACCCCCTGGCCAGCAATGAGGAGCTGAGGGTCACCCCCAGTGAGGACAGGCAGGTTGGAAGGCTGTGCAAGGCCACCCCCTCCTCAGAGGGAAGCCTCCCTAGCCCTCGGCCTTGCTAGTGAGTGGGCCTGAGCACCTGTGCTCCTGGGGGCCTCCAAGTCCTTCTGGAGTTTCCTCCAAACCCACAGTGACCCCCAGGCTGTCCCAACTCCCACAGCAGCCCTCGGGTCAGCTCAAAGCCGGAGACAGCAGCGGGGCCTCACTGGGGCTGCATGGCTTAGTGAGTGGGCCTGAGCACCTGTGCTCCTGGGGGCCTCCAAGTCCTTCTGGAGTTTCCTCCAAACCCACAGTGACCCCCAGGCTGTCCCAACTCCCACAGCAGCCCTCGGGTCAGCTCAAAGCCGGAGACAGCAGCGGGGCCTCACTGGGGCTGCATGGCTCTGCAGTCAAGTCTGTGGAGGCCCCTAATGAGGCCATTTCTCCTGAGCTGTAGGAGTTGAGGCCCACCAGGAGTTTCCACCCTGCCATGGAAGGGGCCCAAGGGATACCCACATTCCTGAGCAGACCTGGAGTCTCAGTGAAGGCGGCTGCACTGGCAGGTGGAGAAGAGGGAAGTGACCTCCCCCTGAGATGGGCTCCGCAGCTCAGGTCCTCACTCTTCCTGGCTTCCCAGACGATCTTCAGGGAAGAGGACTTAGACGCCATGGAGGACCAACTGGGTCCTTACCCAGGGTATGGATCCCCCCAACCCCACCATAGGGGTCAGCCCTCTCCTCCTGGTGGGTGGCTCAGGACGTCCCCTGTGACCAGGCCCCATAGACTTCCTCTCCTTCCCAGCAGACTGCCACCTGCTCAGATGGCACCTTGGCCAGGCATGCAGATGACTAGAATCATGGGGTCAGGGTACATCCAGGTTGCACTATGTCAGACAACTTGGCTGGACACTGACCCTTGGCTAGTACTCCCAGATGTGGGATGAGCAAAGAGGTAGAAGGGCCTGCTTCTGCTGCTGATTGTCGGCAGCCATCACCCTAGGCCTGCCTCTGTGGGAGAGCTCAGAAACACAGGGAGGCGAATCTGTCTGTCCTCTGGAGCAAGTCCATTTGTCTCTCTGAATGAGGTCTCATCTGTAGCTCTCAGCTTCTCCATAAAGAGGAAACGGTCCCGGCCAGCCAAGGAGGAAAGCGGGTCTGTAGGGGAGACGTGTTGCAGATGCATCAGGAGCCAATCAGAACAGAACAGCAAAACCACGACTGTCTACAGACCCCAACTTCACTGGCAAGGCTGTGGAGTTACATAAACCTGTGTTAAAACATAATTTTCATGGATTTCATTTCCCGTTGTGGATCAATTTAGAAAAGCCAAAATATATAATTTAAAAAAACTAAAACAGAGTCTGATAATCCCAGTGATGTGTAAATGAGAGAGAATAGACAGGCTTCCAAACCCTGGGAAGCAAGCTGCTTCATTATGTGAGCATCTTATAATGAAGCCTCTCACAGCTAAAATTAGATTTTGAGTCCATGAATATGCAGTAATGTTTGTATACCAGAATGCATTCCCCCCCCCTTTAAAAGTAGCAGGAGCTTTGTAGTTCTTAGGGGACCCCACGAAGGGAAATGGAAGTGCCAGGTTGACATTTGTGGCGGCAAGAATTCTTGGGGCATAAGTTTGTTTTCTTCAGACTGGAAACTCATTGGAGGTGTTTGAAATGTGACACCGCCAAAGTGGTTCAGGTTTAGGGAGAAATTGGTCTGAATCCGTTTTGATCACCATTCAGTATTGGGTGAGTTGGCCTGATCAAGGCCAAAGTAGAATGTAAATTATAAAGGGTCTGCAGATTGAAGGGCTGGGTTGTGGTCCCAGCTCTTCTTGGCTGTGATCTTGGACAAGCCTGTTTCCCTCTCTAGTCCCAGTGTTCCATCCATAAAGTAAGAGGTATGGTGGATGCTGTTGGCTCTGTCGGTTGCATCTCCAATGTTTAGTCCTCCATTTCCTTTCCCAGCAGCCCCCGATTTCTGTTTGGGGACTTTATGATCTGGTAGCTGACTCTGTAATCAACTGCCAGGGGTGGGACGCATGACCTGGGCTAAGCCATCTGTCTGGCTACAGTGATTGGTTCAGGGGTGGTCATGTGACCTAAGGCAATGCAGCCAGAGGGAATCTCAAGGCTTTTTCTGGGAATGGTGGGTAGAGCCTCTGTGTATTCACCCTGGATGTGAGAGAGGACGCAGATAATCCTGGGTCTTGATGATGGCCCTCCTGGGACCATGGAGGGGAACCACTCTCAGCATGAAGCTGACACCGCTGAAGAGAGATTCAGGAGGCAGAAGGAAACCAGGTCCTTGGTGACATTGTTAAGAACAAGCTCTGCCTGTGATTGGCCCTACCTCGGGGTGGTTTTGTTACATAAGCCAATAAATTTTCTTTATTGTTTAAGTTGGGTTGACTTGGGTTTTTGCTTCTTACAGCCCAGAGCAGGGCTTGGATTGGAGGCCCTGGGGTTCTGGCAGTATCTGTCTCTATGGCTGATGTGGATGAAGACTGAAACTCAGACTAATATGAACTGGTAGGATTAGGGAAGCTGCTTTTTATAGGAATGGGGCCAGGTGTGAAATGCTCAATAGGAGGCTGTGTTCAGTCAGCCAGGATAAGTGTATGTTTAACTCAGTACATCTGTACATGGTGAGGTCACTCATATATCCTTAGAAAATAATTCCTCTTGACTGCCCAGCCCAAACCATCAATTGTGTGATGGTTTAACCAATGCTCTGTTATAATCTCTACTTGACAGATGAGAATACTGGGATAACCAATCTGTAAAGAGTGTAAAAGCAGGGTCCTGTTGTGCTTATCATAACTCCTTTCACAGAGAATTAGACGTGGTATTAGAAGGAGTACATTGATAAGCTATTTGGACTAGGGGACTAGGGGTGAGACCCCCCTTTGAGGGACATGTTTGAATAACAGCTGATGGTAGTAAACTGCCTTCTGAGGAGTTGGTATGATTAGCCATACAGCTTTGGTTTTGCTGAGTTGGACATGCAAGCTTGGGGCCAAGCAGAATTGCTGTCCCTGGAGGAGAGGTAGGATGATGCCACTGGGAGCTCCCCTCCTCTGTCCTTCCCTCTTCAACCCTGCTAAGCACTAGAGATTAGAGGGGCAAAGGGAGTCATATATGGCCCATATCTTCAAACTCTCCTTGGAAAGTCTGACTATAATACTGAATGCCAGGATTGGAGGTCTAGACAAGATGTAGAGAAAGCCAAGGATCCCAGAAAATTAATGTGAGTACATTTTTCCTTAGTGCTCCCTTTTGTGATGGAAGATATATATTGGCCCTTCCTGAGACCTACTGTGCAAAAACATTGCAGAAATCTGCATCCCTGCCATGGGAAATATGAACAGATCTACTGTAAATAACAACAAAATTGCTTGTATTTAAATGAAGAATCTTCCTAGTCAACAAAAATAATTCCAATTGATGCTATAAGCATAAGCATAAACATGCTTTCCAAGGTGTCTTCAGTCCTTGCGATATCTCTTTGGGTTTAGACATTAGCAGTGACAGATACGTGGCTTGATGGGGTGGCCCATGATGATCAGGAACAGAAAACAGTGTCCTTACCCATCACAGAGGTCCATAGACGTCATCCCACATGTGCCTCAGTGAGGTGGACACTATTATTTCCACTTCAGGGAAAGAGAAATTCAGTTTCTGAGACTGAGTTGCCCCAAATTTAAACCCTTTATTTCACAGTTGAGAAAAGTTCAGTCACAGAATGGGGACAGGTTTCCTATGAGGTCATGCTGTGAGAACGGGTGGTGGGGCCAGGGCCGGGATGTGGGCTTGTTCCTTGAAACCACCTGATTTCCCCTGCACTGCATCCCTATAACTCTTCAAGACATTGCTGGAAATGAGGCAAGTGTGCACATTCAGCTTGTTTGGAAGTGACCCCATTAATATCAGTGCTAATTCTTTGCCAATATATTTTTTGGTGGGCACCTGAGTTCAGTTTTAAAAACCATTTTATCACATATCGCCAATACTTTTAAACCTGCTCAGAGGAAGCAGACCTTTTCAAAGGAGTGAGGCTAGCGAGAGGTGCCACAACTTGACATGATAGGAGTCCAGAGTTTTCATCCTAAGTCACAAACATCTCAGGCAGCAGAAGGGCCCTACTCCTCGAAGATATTAATACACAAATGTCTTCGGTGGGCCTGAGCCCAGCAGTGTGTGCATTTATGAGTACCTGTACATGTAGGTAGGTATGAATTCCAGCTGCTGACAGTCAACTGCCCCTTTGAACCATATGCCAGCCATCCTGACCACTACAAGTGACAGAGTCTGGTCACTTGGACTGTGGCATCAACTCACTTGGATAACTCTCTTCCCCCACAGTCAGAGCTACCACATCCAGATAACACAGTGATCCACTCCCACTTTGGAAGCAGGGTTTGTGTCTGAGAGGAGTCTGGGATAGCAGTAGTGCTAAGCATAGCTACTCGCCTCCCTACCCAGCTTTCAGCCATCCAAATTATACCACAGGGCTTACCAAAGGTGAGATCACCTGGATTAGTTTCCTATTGCTTTTTAACAGATTACCACAAACTGAGCAGCTTAAACCAACACACATATATTATCTCACAGCTCCTGTAGGTCAGGAGTCTGAGTCCTCTGTTTTAGGATCTCACTGGACTGCCATAATGTGTTAACCAGGCTGTGTTCTCATCTGATGGCTTGACCGGGGAAGTGTCCCTATCCCAGCTCTCAGATTACTGGAAGAATTGTTTGTGGTTATAGAGCTGAGGCCCATCCACAATTCTTGGCATGTAGGCCTCTCATAGGAATTTCACCACACAGCTATTGGCTTCTTCATGGCTGGCAGGAGAGTGAGACAAAGTCTCACATAAACACAGAAATTCCATCCCTTCACATTTGCCACATTCTACTGTATAGAAACAAGTCACATGCCCTACTCACACTCAGAGATAGAGGATCACACAAAGACATGAACATCAGGAGTTGGGGATCATTGGGGGCCATCTTTGGGTCTGTCTATCATGACATCATTATGGAGAAAGTCTTGAAATCCGTACATTCTTTATGGTTTATAGAGTACCACTGACCACCTTGCATTGAATGTATCATCCAAGGAGATAAGGTTTATCCATGTCATTAGTTCAGGGCTAATGTCCCCACTCTACTGCCTTTACACTAACAGAATCATTATGAACCCCACCAACTCATATTGACCACCTGTGTAGTCT